ACACGTGTTGAGCATCTGTTTTGTAGTGGTTTCCTCGTCTGTAACATGGGGAAAATAATAGTACGCATCTTACAGTCAACAGATGCAAAAACTGAGATATAAATATGTGCTTAGTTCTTGATAAACCTGAGCTCTTAGCTACCATGTCCCCGATGGAAACATGTCAGAAGCATAGTTGGGACATGTACAAAATGTTCATGTGGGAGGGGACACGGAGCTCTGGGGCTCAACCGTGCAGCTCGCTGGTGACATTTCTCAGCCGGGTGAGGGTGCTGGGGGTGGCGGGTGGCAGCAGCTGAGAACCTGGTGATGGGGGTGAGGAGTGGTGGGAGGAATATTATTTTTAAAATGTTCCTTCAGTCTCCAGAAAGAGTAGGGATGACAAATAAATGTAGATGAATACAGTCTGTACATGTTAAAAATGCATGGAATTATTTATTAGCCTATTTGAAGAATGTAACAAATTGGCCTAGAATCGAGCATTATTAAACATATTGACCTGGCTATGGAAGTTTCTTTTACCTTCTAAAACTATACCATTTTTTTAGTGGCTGCATTAGTCAAAAATGAGATGATTATTATTGAAAAAAGTTTAAAGATATTTATTTATTTATTTTTAGAGAGAGGGGAAAGGAAGGAGGAAAAGGGAGAGAAACATCAGTCTGTGGTTGCCTCTCGAATACAACCAGGGACCTGGGGCCTGGACCGCAAACCCAGGCGCGTGCCCTGACTGGGAATCAAACTTGTGACCCCCTGCTTCACAGGCCAGAGCTCAAGCCACTGAGCCACACCAGCCAGGGATGAATTGTTTTATTTAATGCTCACTAAGCCAGTATTTCTTAAACTATGTTCCGTAGAATGCTGGTATGCTATTAACACATCACAGGGGCGGAAAATCATTCAAATTTTTTACAGAAGCCACCTGACCATAACGGCGATGGCGGAAGATGCAACATCTTCTTTCTTACATTCTGAATTTAAATTAGTTCCATATTTTCTCTAAAGTTTGCAGAAAATAGTCAGCATGTTGTGCCTATATATGTTACTTGATACTCTATCATCACAAACGTTTAAGAACCTGGGAGCCAAACGATGTCAACGAAGCTAAATTAGGAGAAAATTGGGAAAAGATTGTTGGTATTAGAGCAAATCACGAATGCTGGTCTTGTTCCTGCCGCCGATCAGCTACGTGGCTTCGGAAAGTCAATTTCCCACCATGGTCCTCAGTGTCTTCTTCGTTTTCCTCTCCTGTTTTGCCATGTATACGTTTACGAATGATCTATATTCAATAGGCAAAACCCAGTCAGGTGGGGCCTCTGCTACCTCGGGCTCCAGGGAGTCTGTTTGAAAACTGGAACTACCTGATCTCCAAGCCCCTTCTGCTCCCTCCTGACTTTGATTCTGGTTTGGAATCCTAGACACATCGGTGATTAGTGAGATGCAGAATATGGATGGTTCAGGCAAGGGCTCAGCACCTGTGGCGGTTTGATGGTGAGCGGCATTGCCCAGATATTTTTGGTATTCTTCTTGTCACTCTAGTAACTTTTTTGTGTATATATTTTACTAAAAAAAAACTGCTTGAAATGATTTGGGGCATCATACAAAGAAGCAATCATCGAACATGAAAACAATTCCAATGACTTTGAATTTCAAATTAGTTGGCAGCGCAAGTTTCTACTGTCCCTATTTCCTGGTTAAACTGAAAATTAATTTTAAAAAGAATTCTAAGTGTGCATTCTGTATCTTCTTTTACTGGTTTGGATGACGTCATCATGACATGACATGCACTGTCTAATGACACATCCTGAGAAATGGTGATAATTAAAGAAATACAATGTGGAAATACCACAGCTCTCAGGCCTCGGACTACCCAGGGCGACTTTTTCCTTCCCCTCTTCTAACAGGAGGGTATTTTCTCTTTTTTTCCCCCGTGCAGCTTAAATAATAAAACTTAGTCCTTTTATTTATATATTTTTTATTGTTTTTGTTCCCATCTGAATCTTCCATCAGCGCTTTCTTTGCAGAGAAAAGAAAGGTCACACCAGGCCACCACCAGCCTACATTCAGTTCTGGGACACACTTGGAGGGACATAGGGAGAGATTCAAAAGAGAATGACCGGACAGCATGGGGGCTTGCAGCCACGTCATTTACGGAAACAGGTTGGGAAAAAAAATTAGGGACTTAATCTGGGAAAGGCGGAAGGGAAGATGTGGTCCAAGGCGGTGGCCCTTGCGGTTTTGAGGGGCGGCTGTGTTTGACATGGACTAAGGGAGTCCAGGATAGCCTTTAGGGGCAGAATTAGACCCCAGAGGTGGAGACCTGTTTTGGAGCTGCCTGTAGCCGGCAGTTTTCTAGCTCTGCTGCTGGACACAGGCATGGGCTGCAGACTGCCTCTCAGGGCGGCCGAGGCAGGGTTCAAGAGTGAGAGTAAACTGTTGTCATGTTAAACTTGAGTCTCTTTTCCACTTAACGGTTACATTTCTGTGTATAACATCGCCTCCCTTTTCTGCAGGGGAGTGACCTCGGAACTCTTTCGGTATTTCCTTTCAGTGTGAAACGGCTTTTCTGTGTGTTGTTTGAAAGTAAATTCCTAACATTTATATGAAACTGGGTGATTGGAGAGAAGCTTCTTCTATTATCTTCCTCCACGGACTGTGGAATCATGACTTTATTATGAAACTGCAAGCGGTAGGAACATTGGCCTCATGATAACTGAGAGAATAAAGGGTTTTATGATCTCACCGGAACCTTGACGTGTGTGTGTGTGTGTGTGTGTGTGTGTGCACGCGTGCGGGCCCACGCTCTGTCTTGCTCACAGTTTTTCCTGCAAAATTTTCTATGCCATTTAGATTCTGCAGATCTTGCGTAAGACCTTGGATTATACTGACAATCACTTATTGTCCTTTCGTGGAAAAATTTAACAATTACTTAGAGTCTTTGAAATGAGTAGTTTAACTCTGAAAATTTCATTGTAATATGGATATTATAAATACGCTAAGTCAAAAGTAAATCCTTGTATTTTTAGTTCCTGATTTTAAGGCCTTCTGTTTGTTTCAGTTCATAATTCACTCCTCATGACCAAAGTTTTTAAGCAGAATTAGAGGAAAGAAAATGTTTCTGTAAATTCAGTTCAAACAAGTAACAAGTAGGCATTCAATGAACTCTGCCTTTTCTGGCTTTTAGAGGTCTTGTCATTAGGTCATTTATTTGGAGAAAATGAAAGTTTATGCATCTGATGGGAATTTTGACTTCTTTTTCCAATACAAAGCTGGGCTGAAAAATTGTTAGGAAGCTTGGTGAGCGAATTTAGATGCTACACGAATTTTCCATCAGCCAATAGGGAAAAAGATCTCCATCAGTGAATTAATTTAGCCTTTCAAACGAAGTGGGTGAGTTCGCTGAGGCTTTCGAATACTTGGCTTTTCCGTATAGAAATCTCAATAGGAATTTTTCAGTAACCTACTTTAGCCAACGTGATTGTTGACACCAAGATCTGGGAGTTAAAAATATCAAAAAAACTCAACTAATTGTGCGTGTGGCCCACCTGCTGGAGAGATACTTCTACTGTGAGAACTCACAGCCCGGGGCTGTAAAACACGAATCTCGGCAGAGTGTGGCCGTCGTTACAACTCCTCTTTTCCGAACTTTTACAGTTTTAAAACCTCTTTGAAACAGTTTTCCCTGCCGTGAAGATTGGGGAACGGTAGGAGGAGCTCTTTAGTGATTCTTCCAGGTTTAAATTTATATGATTCTTGCCTTAGAGCTGAAAGATTTGGATGGTAGGGTAGGTTTTCCTCTTTACTATCTTACTAGGGCATGCTCGATTAGAATTAGATATTCCCAATGTTTTTTCTGAACATCGAAGCAATATTCGTCTATGATTTTCTGTGCTTTTTTAGCTTTTTGCATCGCCAGCGAAGCTGCCTAAGGGTTAGCCCTTAACCAGCGAGCCCAGCTTTACTCGCTCGCCTCGGGGCGCTCTCTCCAAGCCCAGGACTCGATTCTGGCCACGCGCGCCCCCTTTCTCCCAAAGGGTAAATGAGCCGCGGCGAATCCCAACGCGGGTGCCCATGCGCATGCTCCTCTGACGAAGGGTCCGGAGCGCCATTTTCATATGTAAGAGTCTGTCCCCTAATTAGGCGCGTCCTTGGGACACCCGGCATTAAAGTTGGCCCAGGGCCTCTGTGAAAGGGCCCCACTCCTCGCGGGCTTCTGCCGAGACGACGGAAAGATATTCTTTTGTTAATTTTCCCCTCCGAGGACAGGTGGCCCTCTCCCGCCCCCCTCTCCGGTCCCCGCCCCTCCGGGGGGGCCTCGCCCGCGCCCCGGCGCCCCGCCCCCTAACATAAAGGTGGGCATTTGTGATGGCTTTGCGCCCACAGTGGCGACCCAAATCTGAGTGCGTGGGGGGGCCGGATGGAAACGTCTTCCCCGGTGCCAACAAAGCACACGTTCTATCAGAGCCCAGTATGTGTAGAGGAAACCAGTGCGAGGTCTGAGCTAGGAGGTAGCGCTTCTGTTCTCGTTTTTATTGTGTACACAGACGGAGATCCGTCGGAGGTGGGGATGGGGGTTGGTTGGAAGATGCGCCAGAGGTGAGGCAGGGCACGGGGAGCTGAGGTCTCTGTGTGTGGGGGTGTGTGAAAGAGTTTAGAAGAAAGTGGGTGCGTGGGTGCAGAGAGGGGGGGACGCAGCGCATTTCTGCCGCCCGCTCCCCGAGCCACCCTTTCATTCATAAGTTTTAGGACTGGAGGCCGTGCGGGGCTCCACTGGGCCCAGGGCCCCGCTTCGCTCACAGCAATTGGCGGAAGGTAACAAAGCCTTAGCAACCGGCTCTTGATGACCTGCGGGGCGCTTGGTGACGGGAGCCAGCCGCGCAGAGCCGGGAGCCGGCTGTCCCTTTAAGGGATGGCCGCGGAGCCTTGAAAGTGGAGGGGCAGAGGGAGGGCGGGGAGGAAGGTCTGGGGGCGGGCCCGGGGGGAGGAGGAGGAAGAGTTGCTGGTGAAAGGAGGCGGCGAAGGAGGAGCCCGGGCGGCCGCTGCCAGCCCCGGGCACCGGAGTCCTGCCCGCTGCCGCGCGAGTAGCCACGGGCGCGACTGGGGCCAGAAGTCGGCTGCTCCATGATCACTCTGGGAGCCGGGAGGAGACTTTGCCCGGCCGTGCGAGCGGCTCTGCGTTTCCCAGGCGAGGCAGCGGCGGAGCAGAGGCGGCAGCCGGGTCCGGGTCGGAGCGACCATAGCCCGGGGCGTGTGCACCCCGCGTGGAGAAGGCTCGGGTTCCCCACGGAATGTCCCCGGGGCGCCCGGCGCGCTGACCCCCCAGCCGCCTCCGCCTTCGGCGCTCGCCGCCTCTCGCGGTCCGGCTCACTGTTCGGGACTGCAGGCTCCGGGGCTTCTGGGCAGGGGGGAAGCCCCCGGGGGCGGGTGTCCTCAGCGGGCCACGACCCAGCCCTCCCCCGAGCGTATCTCGCTTAAGATGGCAGCGGAGTCAGGGGAACTAATCGGGGCTTGCGAGTTCATGAAAGGTGAGGAGCAGCCGCCCCGCCTTCTCCGATCCCCCTGGCCCCCACTCCTCACTTGCCACCCCTAAGTCCCAACCGCTGCCCCCGGCTTCTCCGGGGCCCCAGGGTCCTGCAGCCGACGCGCGCGCGCTCAGCCTCCCTCGCTACTGTCCTCTCCCCCAGGACCCCCTGCTTCCGGCTTCTCTGTCTTTCTTGCGTCCCTCGTTCCCTCCGCAGCTCCCTCGGATGGCTTCCCCGCGGGTCACGGGACAGCGCCGGCTTCTGCCCGGTTCCCGCACGCAGTTGTGCGGAGGCCCGGGTGGGGTCCGGTGAATGCTTTAGGTCGTCTTTATCTCAGTCTGGCTGGCCTCGGAGTTCGGGACACCCCCGCCCTCCATCACACCCCGCTGTCTCTCCTCCCTTCCTCTTCTTAAGTCCCGGGGCTGTAGGGGAAAGCTCGCCTTTCTTCCCCTTCCGCAGCGGCTGGAGATTTCTGAACCCAATTTGCATCTCCAGTTCTACTGATACCCCGGTCTCCAGACGCCCCCCCCCCGCCGACTTCCAGGCGCTCCCCCGGCTTCTTTGCGCTCCTGCTGGCTGGAACTGGGGGCGCGGGGGCGCTCTGCCCGCTGCCTAGTCAAGTCCCTCCTCACCCAGGTCCTCCGCATGCCTCTCTCACTGCTGTGCTCTCCCAGTGTCTCCGTCCCTTTCTGGATGAGATCAGGTTTCTGCAGGAATCCCACGTGTTAATGGTCTTTAAATAATGGGTAGCCCTGGTTATTTTGATCTTCTGTATATTGTCCCCACCCCCACGTCCAGCTTCCCCACTTCTCACGTGTTTTCTCCCATCTTTTAAACTTGTCTTTCAGATCGGTTATATTTTGCTACTTTAAGGAATAGACCAAAAAGCACAGTAAATACCCACTATTTCTCCATCGATGAGGAGCTGGTCTATGAAAAGTAAGTTTCTGGTTTTTTTTTTCTCTCTCTCTCAACTCTTCAGCTTGTTGACTCTTTGATGAAGAAACACTATGCACCGTTATGGCCGTTTTACCCCGTTTCCCCAAGTGGTGCAAGTAAAAGTACCAGTTCTGCAGGGCTCAGGTGCTTGGCGAGAGGTTCGGGGAACAGGACTGGAGCCTGCCCACACCTCGGACCCTCTGGACCTCTGTGTGTGTGTTCTTCCCACCACCCAGAGCAGGACCAGGCAGGGAGCCTTCTGCCCTTGCTGGACTCGGAAATGACCTGGGAATGAGTCCCCTGGTGTTTGTGGATCAGCCTCAGCATCCAGGCAGCAGGGGCCTCAGCCTCTCGGTTCACAGGTTGCTGTTGTCTTCCGGCCTGTTTTTGTCTGTGCTGCGTGTTGTTTCAGAAAGTGGGACACATGAAGCTGGGTTCAAGGGTGGCGTGTTTTTTTTTTTCCTGTAAGAAGATTTTACCTTCAAATCAATGAGGGACAGATGAGGGAACTCCAAGCCTCATGGTCTTATTTCTCTTGCCTGTGAAGAGTGGTGCAGGAATGTGGTGTCCTTTCTTTAGTTACTTTGATTCTCTGGAATTTGGATTTGAGAGAGTAAGATAAGAGTGTGGAACAGTTTTTGGCAGAGGACGCTTAGTCTGCAGGAAAAAGGTATCTTAATACTTCATAGTAAGTGTAGTACAAGTTGAGTTGGAGGCAAATCTCTATTCAATAAAAGCAACAGATAATAAGGAATAAGAAGGCTGAATTGACTTGATTATGGCCTTTTACTGAAAGAGCTGGTGCTCCAGAGTAGTCTAATGTAGTCTAACAAACATTTAATTTTACTTCCTTGTTCTGTCTAAACGTGCAATTAGATGGACATAATTAAATGAACCACAGCTTCCTAGCTTCCTAGGACCTGTCCTGTCCAAAGGGATTTGGGGAGTCCTGCCAGGCATCCCAAGGGTGCATACCCTTGACCTTCAAGAGCGTATCTTTTATTTGATGGAAAACCAACTTTGAGTGTTACTTCACCGTAGGGATTCTTGAAGCTGACGTCTCCACCCTTCCAGGTGCGGGAGCAGGGCGCCCCTGGAGTGGCTGAAGTGAAAGTGGGGATGAAAGGGCCCTTTGCTGCCGCTCTGATGCCCAGCTCTGCCCCGGGGAAGGTCTGGAGCCCAGGTGTCAGATTACAGCTCTGCCCCAGACGGAGACAGAGGGAGTAATCTGTGGCCTGTCGCCTGACCCGGTGTACCTGGATGATGTCACTGCTTGCCTGCAGTGTTGACTGCCTGCCCGCTCTCTCCGTGGTCGGGAGTGGGCCTTGCTGTGGCTTTCTTTTCTTTCAGTGGGTTCAGGGCTTGGCGAGCTCTCCTGAGTCAGAGGGGAGAGATGGTGGGTGTACCAGAGGGTGTTCACAGGAGCAAGCTCCAGCCCTTGAGGTCTGCCTGGCTGCCTTTGGATGGTGGATCCAGCAGAAAATTACTGTTAGCCTGCTGAGCACGGTGCTCACGGGGTTTTGGTTGCTTCTCGTACACGCTCCAACCTCACAACCCAGGCACATGCCCCGACTGGGAGTCGAACCGGCAGCTTTTCTCCTTGTGCAATGACAAGTGAGCTGCGTGGGTCAGGACGATGAGGACCATTTTTGGTGTGATTTTTATGTTGGCATTCAAGGACAGGGCTATAGATCACATGCCTCAAATATTTATTTCTGGTGTCTTATAAAGAAAGACCAGCTAGGAGAGTGTCAGTTTCTACTGTGAGTTTGGATGTCACTGGAATCGAGGATGAGGCCTCCGGCCTGGCAGGGCCTTTCCTTTGGCCTCGATGTGCCCAGCAGCCAAGGCACAGAAGTGGCTCTGGTCCCCCATGTTCCTGTCTTACCCAGCTACCCAGCACATTATGCCGGGCTGGGTGGTGTCAATGCAGCGATGACAAATGCGCTTGTCCCTCCAAGGAGCTCCGAGCCTGGAGGGAGAATGGCAGGACCGTGGTGAGCCCTGGGCTCCGAGGGCTTCCCGGGCCGGTGGGCGCAGGTCTGGGTGAGGGCTTCCCGGGGCAGTGAGGTTGGCTTGCAGGTGGATGCAGTCTCCCCAGGCCGAGATGTGAGAGGAGAGATCCCAGACGGGAGAGCCAGGGTGCAGAGGGTGCCCCTCGGGGTGCTCGGGGCCTGCGAAGTCCTGCAGTTCGCCTGGCGTGGGTGCAGGTCAAGTGGGGATGTGCGGTCTGAAGCTGGAGGGTCAGCTGCAGACAGATCGGGTGTCAGGGCGAGGAGACGCTGCGTCCTGGAACACCGTGGGACTCTCCCGAGGGCTCTGCGGACACGGGAAGCCTGGCTCTGTGCTCTGAATAATAGCAGACCTGTATGGGGCGTGTAGGTGCGTGCCAGAGGCTGTCTGCCCCAGGTTCATCATGGCTCTTAGTTCATTTTAGTTCCATGAGGCAGGTTACAATGATCATCCTTCATGTGCACGGGAGGAGAGGAAGGGACAGAGAGGTTAGGGGACTTGGCCAGAGCCACAGAAGAGGTAGCAAGCAGGACTGGAATGTGAAACCAAGCCCTCTGGTGCTGGGGGACTTACACCCTCTCTCAAAACATTACTACGCTAGCATCACTGAAGATGGATTCGAAGGGAGGCAGAAGCCCACTGAGAAAAATTTTAGGATGTTCGGGGTGAAGAAATCCAGGCCTGGGTTAGGACTGTGTGGCAGTGGTGGTGGCAAGGAGGGGCCTGAATCCATGGCTTGGTGGCAGATCAGCTGGGGAGGGTGAGGGGCTGAGGAAGAGGAGGGTGGAAGAAGTCCTCAAGGCTCGGGTCCTGGGGCGCCGCTGGAGCCGCTTCCTGAGCCAGGACGTTGGGCGTAAGCGTCGGCCTCTGTGCGAGGATCGGCGACATTGAATGTCGGGCAGTTCAGGGCTGTCACATAAATGTGAACTCCAGTCTGGGAGTTTTCCACAAAGTCACGACCATGCAGTGAGAGAGACGTGAAGCCTGGCGAGAGAGAGAGAGAGAGAGAGAGAGAGAGAGAGAGAGAGAAGCCACTGAGGTCTGAGTGGCACCAGGGTGACCCAGGGAAGAGGAGAGAGGGCTGAGGACAGAATCGCTGGAGTCCTTGTCATAGGCGCCACTTCTTGGGAGCAGAAAAAGAGCGAGATCGAAAAGCCCCTAGAAGGACCCGTGTCGTGGTGACCTGGGTTCTGCCGATGGAGGGTGGCGTGCGGCGAGAAAAGTCTCCACCTTCCTGTCATAGTGCCTGTCTCCCAGGAGAGGGGACACATGGTCCCACAGCCCCCGGACAGCCCCGGGCCCGTGTTCTTATCTGCCCAATGTTGAATGCAGGGCTGCCTGTCCCGATCCCGCCTGTCTGGCCTGTCCTTCTCACCCTGGAAATGCAGCTGTTATCTTTGAACCTGGAAGTAGATGCCTTAAATATTAGGCTGCGAGGATTCTGGACATAGCTGTGACTTGTGCAAATTGTCATTTAGGGTGACAGCACCCGTGATGGAGGTGGCGACCTCCTGAGAAGCTGGTGGAGAAAATTTCGCCTATGGCCTCGCGCGGGTGGGAAGGCTATTTTATTAAGCGTGACAGTTTGAATTTTCTGCCTCTTTATAAATAGAACTTACCATGTCACTATAAAGGCCTGAGCAGCTTTAGTGAAATGTGGCTGGTAAGAAAGCGTGCATTATATCTCTGGGTTATGATTTCACCGATCAGAATGAAAACTGGAGTATAGTCTAAGCCACCTGTGGGACAAACAGCCCCATGAAAAGGGAGCCTTTCAGAGGTTTATCTGTGTCTGGATCCGCTGCTGTTAAGGCTCCACTCTCCAGAAAGGCTAGTTCTGGGGTTTGGGCAAGTGGGCCCTGCAACCCACGTGAAGGCTTATTTACTCTTTATAACTTGGCTCCTGGGTTTTTGGCCGCAAAGTTAGCAAAATCCAATATGTGAATTGTCATAACCTTTGCGTACCCCTCTATGGCAATGCTGTTGATGCCCAGAATGCGGGTTTGCCGCGGAGGGGAGGGGAGGGTTGTTCGAGTCCAGTCTTGTCCCTTTTTGTTTGTCCCCTAGTCACGTGTGAGGAGGACAGGGCTGCCAAGGCGGGAGGGAGCACCCCACGGTCACGCTCGGGGGACCGATGGGACGCAGGTGCTGAAGAGGCTCGGAGAATGTCACCGATGCCGTGGCACCTGAGGAAGGACCCACCTCTGTGAGGACTCAGTAGCTCACGTGCAGAGTTAAATCATTTAAAACGTTCAGTTTTCATTTATACTTTATTAAAGCAGCCCCACACGAATGCCAGCAGGGACTTTGGATAAATAATTTATAGAAGAATGATTTCTTTTATGGAGTCCGTCGCGTAGGTTTGAGTCAACATGTGAATCTGAGCCATGCTGGGAAGGCAGAGGAATGTTCTTGCCTGGAGATTATATGTGGGAACGGAGGTAAAAGTGAGAAGAGACCTCTTTTGCTTTTTAATTTTATTTCGTTTTTATTTTTATCTATTCTATTCTATATATATTCTTTATTTAAATATATTCTATATTTTATATTCTATGTATATTCTATGTTTTTTAATTTTTTTAAAGTTGATTTTAGGGAGGGAAAGAGAGAAAGAAACATTGATTTGTTGTTCCACTTACTGCTGTGTTCATTGGCTGCTGCTTCTGTGTGCCCTGACTGGGATCGAACCTGCAACTTCGGTGCCCCAGGACCACGCTCTAAGCAACTGAGCTGATTTGACCAGGGCTTAATTGGTATTTCAAATTGAATATGTAGCAAGTAGGTTAATTTAATGGAAAGTCGACACATACACCTGTGCATGGTCTCAGGGTCCTCTTTGGCCAGCTCACCCCCTGCAGGTCGCTGTGATGTGGACAGAAGAGGTTTGGTTGAATTCACAGACACGTCGCACCTGTTAAGCCCTGTGCTAGGTGGTGTTCTCCGTGTTTTGTGCCCATGAAGTTGGTTCATCTTCAGAACAACCCTTG